TTCAATATATATGAGAATCATGACATTATAACTGTGGCTGTACAAAGTTAATCTATAAGAGTGAGAAGAATGACAAAAATTTAGGAAATTTGAGTTGCATGAATGCCAATCTCACTAGTTGGTGGAGAAGTTACGCCACTATGCATGAACACCTATGATAGTCTGATGGTTTATGCAGTGGAAACATATAGTCAAATTGTGATGGAGTTTGCAATGTTGTAGGATACTGGGAAACTGCATGTATATACATCTATAAATGCAGATGAGCAACTATAGTGATTGAAAAATCTTAGAATTTTGTCCCGCTTGCATATCTATTGGTTAATCTTTGGGTCAAGCTCAACCTCTTATAATACATTAACAATGTTTAGTATTTTAAGCTTAGTTTCATCAAGTACAAAAGATATATTAGTAACACTCTCAGACAATAAACACAATAATCTCCTTGGAACAAGGAAAAATGGAGCTCCTCTATTTTTACTTCATCACAATCATCATCAAATAATGGCTCATTGTTCCTCAATATGTTTAATTGGTCTAATCTAGTCTTGCATGGGCTTGTTTTTCCACTTGCACATATTGAGATTATGATTTTTAGTTTGTCTAAACCGTTTATCATTAAATCATGGCTCATTATTATTATTATTATTATTATTATTTGACTATCCTATAGTGTGCTTAATTGGATAGTAAAAGAAGTTTAGCAATTGAATAGCAAGCCTATTAATCAATTATAATTACTTGTTTGCTCATATTGTGAAGCAAAAATTGATTGCACTTCATTGGACATTAACTGCCCACTCAAGTAATAAAGAATGCAAATATTTGTTCATAGATTATGCTAAGAGCAAAATGCAATTCTTATATTACTTGTGTATAACTCGTGCAATTTCAGTTCATAGCGAAAGAAAACTCAAATTCCAAATCCTAGCCACAAATCTTGTCTAAAGACAAAAAATCGACAACCAAATTGAGAAGCCAATGATGTGGCTTAAGCTTAACCATGGTTGAATAAGCTTTAGCTCTTTCTCGCTTTTCTCCTTAAGCAAAGATAAGCTATGATTGGCTTAATCCTGAGTTTTTGCAAATTGATAATGATGTCTAGTGTCCATGACATAATTCTACAAATAACATGTTTGGGTCATTAACTCTTGCTTTTATATCTTTAGGTGTTGTTCAATTAACAGATAAGAAAGACAGCATAGAAATTTTTCATTAATTTCATTGAGAAACTATACAGTATATATTTAGATACCTTGTAAATTTTGTAGCATTAAGGTGCATGTACTGCTATTTTATGAATTTCTGTTTGCTTTTAAACTCAAAGCAAGTTTCAAAATATGAAGATTTACATACATATCACTTAATTCCTATGTATTTACATATCTAACACCTAAAGTATAATTTTTACATGTCTGCCACCCTAACTCTGCATAAAAAGGTTTATTTTACTTTGCTTAAGTTAATATAGTGATATTTTATGTGATATGAAAGATTTGGGTGTATAAATGTAAAAAATAAAATTTAACTGTTAAGTATATAAATACATAGGAATTAGGTGGTATGCATCATCTATCATGTATGTAAATACGCCTTAAACATAACTGAATTCTTTAACTTTCATGATGCAGCAATTTTTGTGCAAACATCTGATATAATCCTCAATTAATTTATTGCAGATACACGCCTAATGTAAATAGATTGTTGTTGATCATGGCTTGTGTTCCTTTTAACTCTTGATTCTTCAAGCATTTACCGAGTTCAACTCAACTCTAACATTTCAGTACAATGTTGGGAGAAATAGTTTAGTGGTAGAGAGACTGCCTGAAATCTTCCTATTTTATGAATGTTGTAAGTTCAAATCCAATTTAGAAACGCCATCTGTAATAATCTCAACTGTCTTCCAATGTTAGAGGTCCGGAATTTAAAACTGAGCGGTAGTAGATGTTCTCTTTTTCCTGAAATTGGGAATTGTTAAGTTAGAATTTGATTTTTAATTTTCAGAAAATTGTGAGATAGTGATAGGAGTATATAGTAATTTTTCTTGGCCCTTGAACTTCTGTGCATTGCCATTTGGAAGAAAAAAAAATAAATAAAGAAGATTTACATACATACCGCTCAATTCTTGTATATTTATACAGTTATCACCTGAAATTCAATTTTTACAAAAGCACCACCTTACCCATGCATGAAAAGGTATATTTGACCTTTTATTAGTCAAAACGGTGGTGTTTTTTATGTGATATAAAGGACTCGGGTGGTATACATGTAAAAAATATATATATGTAAAGTTTAGGTGTTACATATGTAAACACATAGGAATTGGGTGGTATGTATATAAATGTCCCAAGTAGTAACTGATTACTATGTATGCTGTCTATATATATTACTCTTTATGTAAACACCACTCTATTCTCATGTATTTACATATCTAACCTTTATTTCAATTTTTACATATATAGATCCTTACCCATCCATGAAAAGGTTTATTTCACTTAAAAATTTTAAATGATGATATTTCTGACGGAATATGAAAGATTTGGTGGTATAAATATAAAAAAAAAAATGAAGTTTAGTAAAGCATTTGTTTTAGTTGAATGAATTTGATTTGGGCTATGGGAAAGTTCTGTTTTGGCTTGTAATTTAAATTATTTTTCACTTTATTTTTGTTTGCTGATATACGACTCTTCATTTTATTGGGTTTTTGAGTTTTAAGTGTGGATTGAACTCAGCATCTTAAAAGAAATAGTTTTCTTAGCAACCTCTGGCCTTGAATCTTTATTATCCATACTTTTCACAGATTTATAGATATATATATACACATACATACACTGTATTGCTTAATGAATGAGTATTAAATCTTTCATCATTCTAGGATAATGATTATTCATTATCATCTTTTAGATCCATGTAAGAATTGATTAGACCAACTTTAATGGACTGTCTGACTTTACAATGATGCACATTTAACGGGCTCTCTGATCTTATTATGATGCTGTGATACCATCTTATTACCATGTCTTCCCCATTATTTGGGAATAACTAATCTATCCATATGTCCAACAACCTCCATAACATTCAAGCGCAACCATAGTGTCACCTACATGTCATATCTGAGGAATGGAAAGTATCAAGTTGATTGTTGGTTATGACCTCCATGAGCTTCTCGTGTAGCCTTATTTTCACTTTTAGGCGATGTCATTTTCCTTATTGTGGGATAACTATTCTGACTATTTTCAATGATCTTCACAATCATTCTACGCCATCATGTTGTTGCCTTTAGGCTGCTTCATTTTCAACCATAAGAGAGTATTGTCTAGATGTTATTTCTCGACTATAATCACTAGACCATCATCGTCATCAAATTGCTACAATATAATTGTTATTGGTTGGTTTTTATCATCCCGCCAATGATGTATGTTTGTCATTCTTCTGTCAGGATCACTTTACCATCAACTCTAGATCAATGTGGTTTGATTGTCATCGCCCAATTATCATCATTATCCAACACTATTAGACAATTACAATAACACGACATCAAAGAAGTGCTCCCAATTTTATAATTACGTCTTCTCTAATTATGAGGAAGAACAAATTATTAATGAATTATTTTAACTTATTCAGGCCCGCTTTTTTCCTTTTTTATTTTTTTGCTTTCAAATCAAAACATTTAATATCCCATACGCTCATTTAATTGTTTAATAAATTATTTTAACTCTATAATTATGTCTTCTTAATTATGACGAAAGTTGTTTTTTTTACTATATATTTGTTTAATAGAATGCACAAATAATAGGAATTTTTAACTTATTTGAAATTTAATTAGATTCATTAAATTTAAGTAGGTTCAATTGAAATTAAAGATGTGAATTGAGTTCAAAGATTGTTAATCGCTTGAAAATTTATTTGATATTTAGCTCAAATAGAGGTCAAATCAAAATAAACGAGCCGAGCTATGAGCCAAAACGATGGATCAAACTTTTTTGAGCCGATTTCTAACTATACAAGAATCTGCTTGAATTCTTTTTTATTCATTAAAAATTATATATAATGCTAAATAGAACCAAATATAAGGAGCTACAAGCTGATTTCGAGCTGAAATGAATTCAAACAACTCAATTTGCACATCTTGTTTTGATTTCGAGTCATATCGAGTGGATTTCAAGTTGGAATAGATACAAATAACTCAATTTTGAGCCAGCTCGGCTCGATTTTGAGCTAAATTGAGCTTTATTTAATTTCAAACCGAGCCAAATCTAGCTCAAACATAATGAGCCGTAAGCTGATTTCGATCCGAAGTCAATCCATTCAAACAAAGGGCCCCAACTCAACTCAAAATGGACCCCTTAACCTCCCTAATTGAAACTAGTAGACTCGTTTTGATTTCCGAGCTAGAACGGATCCAAATAGCTCAAATATAGCCATCTTATTTAGATTTTGAGCCCCATCAAACAAGATTCAATTTCATTAAATTGGTTCAAAATCAAATACAATGAGTCGACCGTAAGGCCCGACCCGTTTAACAGTCGACCTTCGTCCCTATATAACCCTAAAAATCCTTCCCTTTCGTCGACGAATTTCTCAACCCATTTTCTTTGTTTGCGAGTTAGTTCCTCTTTCTTTCTTCTCTGTATCACGATGATGAGAGCTTCTCTCCTCCGATGCGCGGAAACCGTGCAGAGAAGAGGCTCCTCTTCTTCTCCTCTTATCTCCCGATCTTTCTCTTCCGGCTCGCTTCCCGACCGAAAAGTCGCCATCCTCGGCGCAGCTGGCGGGATAGGCCAGCCTCTCTCTCTTCTCTTGAAGTTGAATCCTCTCGTTTCCAGCCTCTCCCTCTACGATATCGCAGGCACTCCCGGCGTCGCCGCCGATGTCAGCCACATCAACACTCGAGCCGAGGTACCATTGTTTCTTTATTTCAATGCTTTGGTTTGTGTAATTCAGAGTTTTAGATCCATGGTTATTTTCCATAGGTGGCGGGATATGCGGGCGAGGAACAGCTCGGGAAAGCTCTTGAGGGATCAGATGTTGTTATTATACCCGCCGGAGTTCCAAGGAAGCCGGGTATGACTCGAGATGATCTGTTCAACATTAATGCGGGGATCGTGAAATCTCTTGCTGCCGCCATTGCTAAGTACTGCCCAAATGTATGCTTTTGCTCTCAATCTTTAATCCTTTTACTATGCGATTTTTTTTAGTTCTCATCCTGTGTGTATATTAATTTGTTCAGGCACTTGTTAATATGATTAGCAACCCGGTGAATTCAACGGTGCCTATTGCTGCAGAGGTGTTTAAGAAGGCGGGAACTTATGATGAGAAAAAGCTTTTTGGTGTTACTACTCTTGATGTTCTCAGAGCTAAGACCTTCTATGCTGCCAAGGCTAAGGTTCCAGTCGAGGGTAAAACTTTCGGGATTCTGATTTACATGACAATCTCTTGTTCGCGTATTTTAGTTATGAGATGATTGTTTGTAACTCCATTTGGTATATTATTGTCATATTTTGCAGAGGTTAATGTCCCTGTAGTTGGTGGGCATGCGGGTATTACTATCTTGCCTCTATTTTCACAGGTGATTCTTTTACTTTTCTTTTTGTCTTACTTACGTCTTTACTGGCTTTGATTGTCTTTTTTTTTCTTTGGTTTTCTTTTGAGTATGTGATCATTGCAAGTTTGCATGTTTGATTTCACATTGTGCTGTGTCTTGTGATTGAAAGGCAACTCCTGCAAGTAATTCCTTGTCGCATGAGGATATTAAGGCTCTTACGAAGAGGACCCAGGATGGAGGAACTGAGGTCGTGGAGGCAAAGGCAGGGAAAGGTTCTGCAACATTGTCCATGGCGTAAGTCTCAAACTCCATGTCAATTTTTACGTTATCATATGTCTTAGCCGAGTCATGTCGTGCTTCATTCAAAATTGCTGCCATTTAGGTTCTTGAAGTAGAGTAAATGTTTATATATATATATATATATAT